TTTCACTTTTAAAAATGAGGGACGAAAAAAATCATTTTACAAAATGTGAGGAACGTTTTGGACGATTTTTCATTTTTTTAATTAGCCTATCCCCAACCGTGCTAACTGGGGATGGCTGAGGACAGGTGGCAAAAAAAAAAAGGCCAGCAAATGGGATGTATTTGGGGACATGAATTTTTGTAGCAAAAGTGAAACGAAAGGCCATACAAATTCATTGCCCTAGCTGTCCTCTTTCTTTCTTTAACTCTTTTCTTTGCTCTTTATTTTTTGGAAGAGATACCTAAACAATTTTATTGCACTAATCCTAATCAAAGATTTTGGTTTTATAACTTAAAGATTTTGCTGTAGAGTCTTATAACACTTAAGTTAGGAAGATCAAAATTTCAAAGTGGAAATGGAAGATTATTATATTTTTTAAACTGCAAATTAGTATAATTCTATGTACAATGAAAATTCAATGCTTGCTCAAATTTTTTGACGAACAACATGCGTAAGCTAATATATGAATATTTATATGTAAATTAAATGCAGTCTATACGTGACAAAATTCATGAATAAGAATCCATATATGTAAAATTAATATACATTTTTTAATTTTTGCTAGTAATTAGATACATTTGTGACTAACTAGTATTCAAAGCTAAATTTTAATCACTGAAATGTATGTAAATGTATAATTACCGATATTAACATTTACATTATACAATTGTCTTGAGTTCGAATATATTGACACTTACATATTCTACCCCCACGCTCCCCAACTTAAAAAAAAAAATCTAGATGAATAATGTAAAGAATAACTTATGATCAAGAAGAAAATAATTATATAATGAGATTCTTTGTAGTTCATTTTAATCTTCCTAATCGAAGAAAGACTTAAGCATGTTGGAGGCTTGTTGTGAATCAATATTAATTCATTAAGTTAATATTATATATATATATATATTCACAATATATGTATATACATATTAATTTTTTTAGACGTGTGTTACATGTACAAAATATCGAATTCAAGAATAATTCTATGCCTAAATTGGATTACACTTATCCCAATAAAGTCCAACTCTTTCTATCTATGTAAAAGCTATAATATTTATGACAAATTGTATAAATTTTTTAAAGTTCTTATATAAGTCTAACGGGATTATTTTCCTACTTAATTGCAATACAGAATATTCATTAAAATATCATTGTTAAAAGTATCACTTAATTACACACAATTTCATAGGTTCATTGGAATTCCACTTCAAAAACGAAACATTTAAAATTGGACCAGCATCAGTTAAGCCTGTAACACCAATCGCATAAAAAACGCGTGTCTTGGGCCGTCATAGTAGGATTAGTAGCCCGTAGTCTGGTCTTCGTCAGTCTGATGAGGGCTTTTGTCTTGGAGTGATCATAAAACTTGACCCGTAGTTTTATAATAATAAAATATGTGTGATTGGGAGAATAGAAACTTGACCCGTAGTGGTGTATATGACAACCGTGCATTATACTGATCTTACCACACAAAAAAAAAACAAAAAATTTTTTTTTTGTACATTACCCCGATAGTTTTGACGGGGCTGCAAATGCTAAATGGTTTCAGGTTCCAACATTTAGTATGGCATCAACTATCATCTCTAGGACTAGGGATGCTTATTGTTGAAGCTCTTCTCTTCTGAATTATCCGTTCTGGCTTCTTTTTCTTATTATTTGGCCATGCCGGGTGCGACGGGTCATTACCTGTGAATGTTGTAATTTTCAATCGCTTTTTTTTTTTTTTTTAGGTGGACTCTTATTTTACGAGGACATAGGTTGCCTATTGTTTAAAGGATCCATTTGGTTCTAGCTAGATTTACGGATTCTGAAAGAAAAAAAAAAAAACTTAGCAATTGCTTTTAAATTCTTTTTCGTATGATTTCTGGAAACATTTGCATGTGAATTAGCTAGAACTTCTGTTAAGAGTTTAATGTTGGTGTGGCCTTCTAGTTTCGGGAGAAAACAAAGTACGATTATAAGAACCTTAAATGACACAGTAATCTGTTGAAGTTTGCGATACACCCCAATAGCAGGGACTGTTTAGACCCACCCTTTTGTGCCAGAACTGGAGATGCTTCTTCTGTCATACATCATGAGATTGTGCCAAAACTAATTTTAAAAAAACTGATGGATCCAAATAGAGCCTGAATTAATTGATTGGATTTGTGGAGCACGGACCAATAAAACTCTCCGTTTCTTCTATAACTATTTTACTTCCGTCTAAAAAGACTAAAAGGAAAGCAAAAGTACTCCCGATCTCATAACTAAAGATATGAAAGTCACCACTTTTTTGGGTGCTTCATTAAACAGACACGAGGATTTTTGTGATTCCTCCGTGATGGGGGGGGCTATCTGTAACATTGAATTGCGCAATCACTATTATGAGGGCCAAATAATTGAGTAAAAAATAGCATAATAATATCTCTACAAATTAAGGGGATACCATAAATGCCAAAACAAGTGCATTTTGGCAGCCATAGTAATTGATTCCCCGGCACTAGAAACGACTCGAACATCGTTTAACGTTAAAAACTGCGCCCACGTGTCCAGAAAGTTTTGGAATTTTACGATGTGAAATCGAACTTCGAAAAATGATTGTGAAATGAGAATCTACTTCTACGGCAGCAAATAACAAGCAAAACTGAGAGTGAAGTCAGAAGGAATTAGCGACTAAAGTGTTGTGCAGCAGAGTAAGGAGGAAGAAGAAGAAGAAGAAGAAGAAGGATGCCACGGACCAGAATTTCAGGGACATTCAGTTCCCCTAAGGTGGACCTGATTATCGATACGGGCAACCCTTTCCTCAACCTCACTGTTGATGGCTTCTTGAAAATCGGCTGTGTAAAATTCCCATCTTAGATATTCTGATTGGGATCGGTTCTGTTTGACCAATTATCAATTTCTTCATTTTCTAAATTCCATTTGGTGGTTGGTTTTATTTGTTTTTGTTTTCTTCTTCCTTGAATAGGTTGCTGCAACCAAAGCAGCCGCAGAGGAAGCATATTACATAGTCAAACGAGGTTCATTTTTTACATTTAAGTATTTTTAATTCGATATGCATGCGTTTATTTAACAAATTGCAATTTCTGCTCTAAGCGTACAAATGTTACTGGGATTAAGTCAAACCCTTTTAACTTGACCGGACAAAGTGGGAATTTTCTCAAATATTTTACCTTCCTTGCTTTGATGGGATTTACTTATATTGCATGATGACTCTAATTTGAAAAAAAAACTGACATTTTCTCGAATTCTTGTGTGAAATAATGCTAGTAGTAGCATTAAAAGTGGATTGCGCATGCGACATATACATACATTAAAGAGAATTTGTTGCAGCTTTTTTCTTTTTGGTTTGACATGGTTTATTATGCAGGGAGTATTTCTCATCACAAGTTTGAGGATTCGGTAAGATTCTAGGAACCATTCTGTCTCTTACATCTATAGTTTCTGTCATTGAAAAGCATGGCTAAACAGGCGAATTTGATTTCAGTTTTGTTTGAGGTTGAGTTCTTGTAATGATACTGGTAGTCTCGCTGAATTTGTCTGACACTTTTGACAAGAGGACAGTCAAGACGCGAGATAATTAGTTAAATATCTAGCAAAACTATAAAAATCACTGGATATGGCGGTCAATTTCCGAGTTAGCACTGAGACATTGTGAGAATCATGCGGCCATGTATACCGTATCTTACGATCATTCTGAGGATTCTTTTGTTGTACATGATGCATACTGAATGGCTGCAGTTGGTCACGTTTCTAATGCAAATGAGTTTCCTGTGTTTTTCAGTTAAAGAAAATGTGCAAGGAAGGAGCATACTGGGGTGAGTGTCACTTGAATTTTCTGTTACATATGTGACAGGAGATCACTCAGACAAGAGACAAGAGACTATTCTGGTTTGCTTTACAGACTGACAATCAGTTGAAGTCCATATCTTCATTTCGCTTACAGGAACAGTAGCTGGAGTGTACGTTGGACTGGAGTATGGTGTAGAGAGGATTCGGGGTGTTAGAGATTGGGTAATCTCTCAACTAAATCTTTTTTGTACATTCACATGAGAATCTGTCTTCATGCATCAATGTCCATGTTTCTTTCAGCCTGTAGGATAGGACAGCGGTTGGCTTCCAATCACCCCTTTTTAGTTGAGAATGGGTAAATGTGGTTTAACACTGAATACAAGTAGGCATGTTTCCCGCTTAGATTAATAATGGCGACAGGCAAAAGATGTCACAGAACACTACTAGACATACAAATGGTTATCGCTTCATAACAATTGGCAACATTTGACGGGGTGAACAAGCTGCAATATGCTTATTCAGTTTCAGAAGCATCCAAGAGCTCTGACCTACTATCTGTCCTAATTCTTGTCTGCATTGACATGTTTCGTTTTGATTTGGCTGGATTTCACGGTCCAAGTATTCTTTCTTATAAGATCTTTCTGTACAGTGAATTTGTTCTGTTTATAAGGTCGTTTTAAGCTGTTTTGCTTGTTTCATTTGACCATTTGCAGAAGAATGCAATGATTGGGGGTGCATTGACAGGAGCTTTAATATCAGCAGCTAGTAACAAGAACAAAGACAAGATTGTGATGGATGCCATTGCAGGTAGTGCTATTGCAACTGCTGCGGAGTTTATCAACCATTTCACATGAAACATAGAACTAGCCTTGGGTCGTGATGCAACACTCAGGCATATCTCATGTTACATAGTAATAACAGCATCAGAAGATGCTTGTCCATCTGGGGACCAAACCATGCTAATCCACTTTTTCAGGATGTTTTGTTTCTGTTGAAATATGAGATTTAGCATTTAGCAAGGTGATCATAAGGCCGCTTAGTCCTGCTGCCTTGCTTTGTTTTATACTCCAATTACATTTCAGCCAATTGACTAGAGTGATTACTTTTAAGACTACAAGTTTATGTTGCTCTAAAGAACCTAAATGTCTGTTGTATGCACGAATGTTAGAAAGTTCGTGACAGAGCAGCAGTTCAAAATACCCCATGTTTCCTCCACATGTTATTCAAGGTGTCCACTAAGGAATCAAATATATCATGAAAAGCGAAGGAGGATACCCATTCTGGCATTTTTTCTGCTCACAGTGCTAAACCCATAAACGAAAACACAAGTATACTCCTTATAAATATGAAAAACAAGGTGTGAGTGTGAGTGTGAGTGTACATATAAGCTGCAAAGCCGCATTTGTAGATTCTGTCAAAGAAACTCGACATGAAGGAGTCGAATCTTTCCATTGGCCTGTTAGAACCCATAGTGCAGAAACCTACATGAATAAAGCAAACACAAGGTTTTAAAATTATGCAACATTAATCAAAAGGAAATAAATTGTCAACTAGAATTATAATTGTACATACTGGTCAGTAGAGACAAAGGTGAATGCTATTCCACGTCAACATTTTTGAAGCAACCTTGAAATCAGTGTCAAAAAGTGGCAGCTTCAGAATCTCAATACCATCCCCAATGGCATTAAGCAGGATGCCTGTCGATAGTTAAAGCTCGAAAATGCTGTACTTGGTCTAATGTTCGGGAGAGAGCGTGGACAAGTTTCAAGAGTCCTTGTGCTTACGTCAAGAGAGTTAAGCATGTCTTAAAAAATGGAGCTAATAGTGCATCTGAAATATAACCACCAACAAGCAGAAGCAAGCATTTAAGCAACATCACGCCTCCAACTTTAGCGAGTATGGGACAAAATGTCCAGAACTAGTAGCAGAGTGATTTTGCTTTAGATATCTCTTATCCATAAAAGTCTGTTTGATCAGCTCAACGACATATGCAAATAATTATAACGGCTTACACCACAAAGGCAATCACTTTGGAAACTGCTCAATGAGTTTCAACAGGCTATAGGTCTCAGAATCCGGCCTAGACCCTCCAAGAATCATCCTCTTCAGAAGATTTGGGTCATGTAGTTTTGCCTTAACATATGCCTTTATCAATGTATTATAAACGAATGTGTACCTTGTATAGTTGGCTTTCTTTAATTCTTCAAACAATTTCTCAGCATTTTCAACATCACCATCGTCTGCAAAAATATCAAGTATTGAAAGAGTGGTCTCCAGCCATGGAGTGGACCTCCTAACTTTCATGCTCACTGAAATATCCATTCCCAATTCAAGGGTTTTGATAGCTTCATTTCTTAACCCTGCTTTCAAGCAACCGAGAGCAAGATGCCGGAAGGTAATGGCATTAGGTTTGCATCCATTTTTCTCCATTTCTTTGTACAGGCTGGTTGCTTTTGTGATAAAACCATGTTTGCAGTACACAGATATCAGTGAATTCAATTGCTCTGTAGATTTCAATCCCTTTACTAATTTCATTTCTGCCCAAAGCTCTTCAGCTCGATTTATATCTCCTATTCTGCCAAATGCTTCAACTGCAAGCACAAAACTCTTAGACCTAACATTTGGTAGTCCCTGAATGATGCTCCAGATTCTTTCTAGCTGAGTCCGCATACCCAAGTATCCATACAGTATAACAAGAATATCGTATGTTGACCAATTGTTTCCGCTTGTAGATTTCTCAATGGCTTCAACATAAGCTTTACATACAGTAGACAACCTCGCCACAGCATGTGCAGTAGCTAATATGCAGTAGGAAATCTCATTTGGCTCGACATTTGCTTGTTTCATATCACCAAACACTTTTGCCAATCTTTCAATGTTGTGGTCATTGGCTTCTATCTTTAACAGAATGTTGTATGTAGAAACATGTTGAACCACCTTGTCTGCTCGCATCTGGGTCAGAATCTTCTGAATAGTCTTTTTCCGGCCAGGTGATGAATGAAGAATAATGAGGCGATTGAATACTAGATATGATATGGGATGGCCCAATTCCCTCATTTTCTTCATATACGAAAGTGAAAGCCTTATTAAGCCTTTGTCCAAGCATGCCAATACAAGATTGTTGTAGAGCAACTCATTTTGATACTCTGATGGGATACGAGAAAAAAGGCTCTCACCTTTTGATACCCCATGAAGCTTAGTAGTGAATTCCAGTAAGTACGAGTAATCTAGCTCCTTCGGCCTGAAGGGTCTCTCCCTAATGACCCATTCCATTACCTGTCAATTGTTGAAACAATTACGATCTCTATTTCAAAAATGCTTCCATATCCCGAAGACTCGCAGTAACTGAAAATTGCTATATCAAATGCATTATATTCAAATCTAACAAGGAGAATTAAAGATGGCCTATTTCCAACTTTAACCACTTTTAGCCTTTTACACACTGAAAACTTGGTTTAATCATTTTCACAAACATGTGTGATGCATTTTATACGAAGAAAAAGGCTAAAGGGAAGTCAAGAAACCTCAAGGGCACGTTTGTTGGCTTTGAATTTACGCAAACGGTTGATAGTATGAAAAATGTCGCCTCTGTGAATTGGGAAGCCATCACGCATCCAGCTCTGGAAGGCTGAAGCAACAGGCTCTCCTCTTGGCAGCTTTTCAATTCTCCAGCTCAAGCTCTTTGCTTCTCCTTCTTCGTTTTCTACTTGTTCTCTCTCCGAATCCGAAGTTTCTGGGCAGGGAATAAGGGTTGGCTTTTCTGTTTGGGTGCAAAAGTTGGGGCCAAAACAGCGGAAGTGGCGGGGAGAACATAAAGGGACGGCAATTGTTCGACGTATTGCTCTCAAGACACTTTGTTTATGAACGACTGCTACGATTTGCATCTTTTTGGAGGGAAACTCCGACAGTGGAGAGTAAATAAGGGAAGTGATTCAATCAACTCGATGCTAATGATTTGAGGAACTTTCATTTGGGTCTTTAACCTTTTGCCCCATTGTCACTTTAGTCCTTGCTAATTTAAATGATACTAAAATTTCTACACATTTTTTTTTTTTGAGATTAAAATCACATCGAAAAATAATTGTTTCTCAGTGGAAAATTGAAACTGATAAGAAAATACTAACTGTATGTGAATGCAGGTGACTGACTTTGAAAGGCTAAACAAATATTCAATTCAAAATGTTGCTTTCAGGGCTTCTTTCATGGATGTTAATCCGTGCAAACTGGCTTAATGAATTTCTTTGTTTTCCAAGCTTGAATTTAAATGGGTTAGCCATCCATATAGGGTGTCTACCTTGCCCGCCTCTAGACTTGAATGTACCATTTTGATCAAAATGCCAGAGAGGGGAACATAAAAGGCCTTTTTGATTGGAAATATCAAAATACAGATGAATGATTTCTGCACTGGAATCCTACAAACAGATGATCTGAGAGTTCCGGTTAAGTTTAGTCTTACCCTTAGATCAGGTTATCTGGCAAAATTTCATCGTAACTTCAGGAAACTCTCCTGTGAGGAGGGTCATAACAGCAGAATAATTCGCATGACAAATTTCACCACAGTGAAGGAATTATTTCAGTAGTACTTTTAATCTTACACAACTCATTGTAGTCTACACGCTAGCATCAAACAAACACACACAAAGAAAAAAAAAAAGAAAAGGGACACGACCAGAACATAGCCATAAGATAAGACATCAGCAAAATCCAGAGTGGAGATCTGCAGAAGTCATGGCTTTCTTATTTAGGACAAGCTTTACCACACACCATCAGGAACATTAACAACTGAGGCTACCCCAAGGGTCGCATCATAGTAGTCATAATTACTAAGTGGAGACCTACAGATCAGTCATTTTTTCATCAACAGTTGCAAGGGTTGCATCGGCAGCTTGGTGCGCACTTGCAGCCATGACCTCCTTCTGCTACGAAGCTTTTCTCGGATCCCTCAGGGAAACTGCATCGGGTACAAAATACACATCAATCCCTCCAATCAAACAAACATATATCTGTTGTTTCCCTTGTTTTTAGCTTTCATAAGCAAAAGCTTCACATACATGTTCACTGGTGCTACCCCTTCAATCAGGGTCACAGTTGTGTCCTTCTCGACATCAGGGTACATTCCGCAACTGTCAGTTTAACATTTTGGTAAGCAACTCAAGAAGACTGAAACAGATGAATTCTCGACATATGAACTTTAGCAAGACAATCATCAGATTCAAAAGTATATGTACCATAAGAAAACGTATTTATCAAAAATACATCTTTTCTTGAAGACATATTCAAATGCAAACAGTAGTCCAGCATCAGACTTAAAATTTGTCTGACATCTAATTAGAAGTCAAACAAAAGATAGAAGGGCTGTTTATGATTTGTGAAGTGTTTACCCTCCACAGCCGCTGCCAGAACCACAGCCACTGTATCCTCCACAGCAAGACATTTTCCTTCCAATTTTAATTCACCAAAGCAGACTTGATTGAGTTATTTTTGCACAGCAGGTGGCACCTATTTATAATGCAAGGGGGAAAGAGAGATGCTGGTGATCATCCAGAATACCAGCCTTTTGATTTTTGTGTTGTTACGTGGAGATGTAGAATAGATTAATTGATAATGCCTACCCTTCTTAGTGTATCGTGCACGTCCATTGAACCATTCATGTCGGTTTTTTGGCTTCTGACTTCGATAACTCGTGACATTAGCAGAATGGAGCATAATAAAACCCTGTTGAAAACTTATATAACTTCTGCGAGCCTTTCTTTCTTTGCCCAATGAAAGCAAGCCTTGTGCGATTATCATAACTTGTACCATTGAACCGTAGGCATAATATCAAGTTGGCATCAAAAAATGATTCAAATAATCATACATTAGAACAATGACCAATGTATTAATCACATCAGTTGCTAATAAATAATACCCACCCCAGAGAACTTGATAAACACACATGTAACCGCAGATGTTGCTTGAAAATGAATACTGTAAAATATTAATCCCAGTACAAAGTTTCTTTCATCTGGATCCGTCGTAGCACAAGTGCTCACGCCAAACATGCTTACCTGTGCTTTATTTTTTGCGCTGTTGTCAACGTCTTCCAAGGATTACCCAACACGAAATGACAGGCATGATGCTTGCCTCTCAACTTACATTATCTCCAATCTGTGCCTATATTATTGCAAGATGAAAACCTACATTCAGACGATTATCAAAATGTGCTGAAGTCAACTTGATGCAAACCAATTGTTCTTCCCTTGTCTGCTCAGTCTAATGCCCATAACTATCAAATCAATATCGAATCATGGTTAAAAGAAGAAAATTCACGCCACAAGGCCAAGACCATAAAACAGAATGGTCCGGGGAATGAGTACCTATAATAGCAACGCCTTGGTTCTCCATCGGTGCCTTAACTTAAGGCTGGGAACTTACGCTTATGTATCCCACTTGGAAGAGACAAGTTTTACATAGGAAATTTCATTTGTGTGTGAAGCACCAATTTGATTAAATTCCCAAGCCCAAGACTCCAAAGGTGAGAATACAAAAAAGCTCCGTGTGATTAAGTTAACCTATGGAAAAACTCCTTTATAGTTTCAAATCATACATTTCGCTCCCTCATGGTTTGAACTAATTTGAAATAAACGAAAATTGTCAAAACTGACGTAGGCGGATGAAATGACACAATTATCCTAATATATATAAGCAATAAAAGACCTTCTAACAACCATTCTATTACTACAGAAAAATCCCCTATGGTTACATGTTGCTTTTATTTATTTATTTTGTACATAGGAATACGGTAAGTTGTATTTGAAAGTTCTTATTTATTTAATCTGTTTATAGAAATAAAGTGAATTTTATTTGAAAATTTTTATTTATTGATTTTTTATATAGAAATAAGATGAGTTGTACTTGGAAGTTTTTTTTTTTTTATTTTATGAGTTTTAAGGGTTTAAATAAGTATATCAGCTAAAATTTTGATTTTAAAAATCATTTTCCATGTCAAGCAACCTCAAACTTGTTAATTTAAATGATTTTTGTCAATTTTGCATGTTGGTTCAAACCATGAGATACTGGATTGTATGATTTGAAATCATAAAAGACTTTTTCTGTAGGTTTGTTTAACAACAAGAGGTTTTTCTATCTTATAATTCTAAGGATATAATAGATATATTAACTAAAAATTTATTTGTTTCCAGTACACTCGCAAAAGAAACGCGTGTACTTCAAACACGTTAATTTAGACGATTTCCGTCACTTTGTTAAATTAGTTTAAAGTACGAGGTACCAGAATATATGTTTTGAAACTATAAGAAGTTTTTCTATATGTTGGATTAATCTTAAGGGGCTTTTCTATATTTTACCCTATTCAATACCATCGAAAACGTGGATTATTCGTGCAAAAATTTTAAGGTATGCCCTTATGATAGCGTTGGGATATCCTATCAATCGTTCCACCTGTCTCTAACTGAACAAGGGTATGCGCTTATGATATTTTATTATTTGAAGAAAGAAATTCCCATTCTTTGATTGACAGTAAATTGCTTCATTATCTTATCTCCCTAAAGAAGTAAAGATTAAGAACCTATTCTCAGATACCAATTTCAGTTCAGCTTTTAGAAGAGCAAACCATTTCATTCTCAGGGAACAGCAGCGATCAGGCTGAATTGGGAAAAAAAAGTGCCAAGCTAAAGCACAAGAAATATTAACAACAGATATTTCATCCACACTAGATCGAAATTCCTGTGCAGTATCAAACTAATAAGACAAATCAAACATTTTGTATCAAGAATGATGCTACAACATATGGTGAACTCCAATCACACATCAATCTAATAATCTATGTACAATGATGCTAGAGCAAAATTTCAATGTACAAAAGCGCAATTGGCACTATCCGAAATTGCAAATCAAGAACATAAAAGTTCTTCCAAGAGTTCATCAAAAATTATGTCTTCTACCTCAAGGCCCACACACTCACTTTCCAACTGTAGGTTCATCCAACCATCATCCTTCCCCATGTCCAGAGCAACAAGGCACTCAAGTGATTGCTTTTGCTCTGTCTTCAATTTCATCAATGTATTAACACTACTATTACACATCTCATCAACAATACGGTCACCAACTGGAAATGGACGAATATAGCAACTAGAACCCAATGCCTTGGGATAATACGGGAATGATCTCCCATATAGGTGGAGTAGCTTCTCATTGACTAGATCAAATAGAAGCTGATGATGATAACAGCCACAGTAGTCCTCTGCTGAACATTCTTTATGCCAGTAAGCCTCCATTTCATCGAATACTAATGGGTCTATTGGCTGGTTAGATGAGTGCAATGTCATGTGGAACGCATCCTTGCCAAAGCCTGAGTTTTCAAGAATATCTTTCACGTAATCTAAATCAGCATCGTATTCATTGTAAGATCCAACAAGCTCAGCATCCTTCACAGGATCTAGATTTGGCATACTAGAAAATAATGCAGAAGGTTCCATATCGAAGCTATTCTTGCAGTTGATCGAAGATTCCTTGTCATCAAAATGAGCGCAACCTAAAAGAGTAACATGTAGAAATTTCTATTAATCATTAGAGCAAGGGTAAGAAGTTACACCAAGTAGCTCTATCCATGGTATGGAACTCTCAGACATTTTTGCAGTAGGAGGGGTCAGGATAATGGAAAAGACAAAATGAAATAGTACTGGATGTTATTGATTACCTTCTGAGGCTTGGAACTCTAATGAGCTAGACGCATCTTCTTCAAAGCAAGTCTCGAAGGCAGGAACAGGACTTGGTCGTGGCAATTCACAGGGATCAATGGCAAAACAGTTGTTCTCTTGCTCCGAGTACGAAGTTCTTTCGCCAACTGTTAGCGCATCATATTTTTCTTCAAGATCTTCGACACTACCCATAATTTTTTCTCTTGATTCACCCAAGTTCTCCACGTGGTTAGCACGTCCATCTCTTTCTTGTAATTCATTTTGGTGAACAGACTCTTCAACACCCCCCGGTGATATTTCTTCTGTGTTTCGAGAAACGACTACAGGCTTCAATTCATCTTGACAACTATCCCTTTCGTGGGAACCATTCTCCACCTCCACTGTTGAAATTGGCCAACCGTCCAAATTAGCATCACCATAGAAGGAACAATAGACGTCAACATTAGATACAGAGCGAATTCTTCTAAAACGTGTAGAAACATTTCCACCAGATTCCATCTCATATTCATTTTTCAACTTTAAGCTCCTCGACTGGTCTAACTTCACTTCCTTCCCAAAATTATTCTCAAACAACCAAGTATATTTCTCCATTGACTCATTAAGGGAAGAACTTCTTCTATGAGTTCGTTTACTTTTGTCAGAAGAATATTCCTCAGCTTCATAAGAATTGAAGGAATTTCCTTCATCGACTCTGCAGGTTGTAGTGGTTTCATCCCTATTATCAGAATCTTTTTCTAATTTGGTAGAGACATATCCACTAGAAACTTCACTCAGGACTGAAAGATCGGAAGAGTTGGCTTGATCTCTACCCTTCTTGACCTCAAAATGATCCAACTGCTTACTTTCCTTTAAAGGTGTGAGCACTTCCTGATTCACTTTGTCTGGTTCACTAGTATTCTCTAGGATAAAATTCAATGCTTGACCCAGTTTGCTGCCTCTGTTAATGTACTCGAGAGGCAGTGATTTTGAGCGGGCATGCTTTGAACGCTTGAACTTGTCCAGATTTGGCAATAGGGAACCAGTGGGCAACTTCTCCCCTTTTGGGGCAGACCAAGTTTCACTCTGCTTTTGCTTCAATGTGCTAGGTTCAAGGCTTCTTTTCTGCAAGAAATCAGCAGCAGGGAACGATCCTGACTTGTTTAATCTTGCTTTTGCATTGGAACCGGGGGAAGTATGAGAGAATTTTCTAAGGCTGCCATCTTTATCCTGTACAATTTCCAGAAACAAGTCCTTATTTACTTTAAAAATTTCCAGAACATTGGCATGTTCTCTCTCTTTTGAAGCATCCTTGACGCTCAACTCCTTAAAACTTTTTCCATGTGCATCTCGCTTGTTCTGGACATTCATCTTTGGTGGAAGTTTTTTAGCACTATTTTCCTTGTTGCTGGGAAAGAAAAGAACTGGATGTTCCCAGTCAGTGCATATTTCACCAAATCCCTGGTCTGGAGGCTCTAGATGATGGATTGAATAAGTACGCTGCAATTTAGGTTGAGAAGCATTGCTTGAAACCCGTTGTTTGCCATTGCCTTCTTTTGACATCTCTTCTGCAATCAATGATTTTATTCTAGCTTTCAGAGATCTTTTATGTTTTGAGCGAGACTCCTTAGCACTCTGACAATTCAGAGATATTTCCGTTATCAGCTAGTCCAACCAAAAAAAAAAAGCTAAAAAATGTGTAGTTATTTAGAAAACATACGGAGAGGTGTTTTTCCTCCTCATATAGCAGCTTTTGCTGTTCCACGGGATCATGAAGAAGTTCCTTAGCTTTGGAATTTCTGCTGCCTGAGGAAAAAGGGGGCTTATGTTAGTAAGACAGAATAAAGAGATCACTTTACAGTACATATCCATTCAAACTTGCACGACACAATCAATCAATATGCAACAGC